CAGGACTTCGATCAGAGATATCCAACAAATATATTCCATTCACCTCAGGGCTACTCCCAATCATCCTCTGAGTTTTCAGGTCCTGAAAAACACAATGAGAAGGAAAGAAGGTTACGCTGCAATTCATTGATTTAGTTAAGCTACTAATAGATAAAAGGTTAGTGTTAAGTTTGGGAACATGAAGGACAGAGGGCAAAACAAGGGAGTCAGAGGCTCTAATATTCCCTTTGCCAGAGATGCGAGCAAGAGACCCATCAGCAAGGAAACTCTTCTCTCTACCAGAGAGGAGCTGGTATGAACAAAAAAGGTTAGATATGCTGGTCATATGGTCTAATGCACTAGAATCTATAATCCAAGGAATTCTATGATTACCTGAGGCTGTAGCATGATTTGCAAAAGCACAAATACCTTAATGGGCAAGTGCAGATGAAGAGGTATTGCCTGAGGAGGAAGTTGCAACAGTAGTCTCCAAGTGATTAATTAACCTCCCATATCTCTCAAATTCTACCTTCACTGCTACTAGTTCAAGGTAGAGTCCTATAATGTAAGAAACTCAAACACCCTGTTTCTTTCCACAAATTTCCTGAATGTCTTTGCATCCTTGGTGCTTTCCCATACAACTGCTTCCATAACATCAATCTCCTGCCACAGTGACTTCAACATTGAGTAGTAGACAGCTACACTCTTCTCCCCCTGTTTCAGATTTTTTATATCTCCTTGGCTGAAGTCATCCAAAGATAATGTTGACTTATGTGGGGCTGCATAGAATTTGCCAAACCATCCAATAACTGTGTAGCTATCCTGCATCCATTTCTCATATGTAGGATTAGTCTCTTTCAATTTCTCCTTACTACTCGTGAGAAACCCTAGTTTACCTCTACTACAGACATGAATCTTTATAGATTGTACCCAAGTTAAATAATTTGTTCCATCAAGTTTGATTGTAGTCATGCCTGTCAAAATGGAATTTATGGAACCAACCCCCGACACTGGGATCTGCTTCATCTCGCTTCAGATTGCTCCAATGATCAAACAAAAAAAAAAACAAGGCTTTCAAGCTTTATAGACCTAACTAAGGTCAATCCAACACTTAAAAATCCCAAAACTAGGGTTTCACTATACCTGGCCTCCGGGGAGAAAGAGAGAAGTAGCTACTCCAACCAGAGCTTCCCAAACCTCTTCCAACTGCAACTGCCCACTTTTGGAGATCAAAAGGAACCTTCCAAGCCTTGAGCGCCACACCCAAACAGTCTCTTTAACCTGTAACTGAAAACTCTCTAGTCGGCTAGGGTTTTGGGCAAAAAAAATCAACAGCCCCACTTTCTTGGCAATCTACAACCAGATTTTGACTCATGTTCTTTGAATAATCAGAAACTTATCTCTCTATACACTCTTCTAATTGAAAGGTGTGTGGGAAAAGAAAAGAAAAAATAAAAGAGAAAGAAGACCTGCTCCGATACCAAGATGTGATTCAGACCAATAAAAAATAGTAAAAATATTTCAAATTAAAGCAGAAGAGGAAGAGAAGAAGAAGACAACAAGAAGGGAGAAGGGAGAAAGAAGGAGTTCGATAATCTCCTCTTTCTCCTCTCTAATCTTTTATTAATCTTACTAAGATTACATAAATTACAAGTCTGCCCTTAAGTGGGCATCCACCTCAGCAGCATACTTAGAAAACATAAAGAGAATTAAAGGCCCATTAAGAGCAAATAACAAAAAGAACTAATCAATAAGATAGAAATGGGCTAGGGCCCATTCGGCCCAGTCTCTCTACACTTTTGCATTCTACCACATACCTTCTCCTTCCTTCTAAATCAAACTCCTCTAGTTTGCTTGCTTACCCTTCGAACTTGCTTCCTTTACAAAATTCTTCAGCCATTCCATCACTCCAGCTCCTTCCAACAGGACCGTAGCTCTCTTTGCCTCCCTTATCTTTAAACTTGGAAGTCCTCATATCCTCATTTCTTCGAATAAAATGTCTTTAGTTTCAACCTTTAGACTTCTCTTCCACCTTGAAGCTTCCACAAACCTCTCCATCTTTTTCCTTAGAGTCTGCTATCTTAGATCTTTATCAACCGCTTTACTTAGTTAACCTTCCTACCTTCTCTATGGTTCACAACCTTAGATGAAAAACACCACCATTTGTTATTAGTAATCTACTCCAAAGTTTTAGCCCAAGTGTTGATTTCTATAACCTTAGTTTCTTAGCTTTGTTTAATGATTTGGAGTAATAATTTAAAAAGGTGTTCCTATGCTTCTTTTATCATTTCATAAAATATCATTCTATATTTTGCATATTTTATAATGTTTCCACCCTATCTATAATTTTACAATATTTCCAACATCTCCAACATGTTTCTTATATTTGGATAACCGACATTTCCACTGATCGACATTTTAAACCTTGGATACAACACCCTTGTACAGATACCTGGGCATCATAGGTTGCAACTCCCTTCCCAAATTTTTTTTTTCATTTATTGGTCCATATGTTTTTCCAATATGAGACATAACTTGTTAGTTGTGATGATGCAGTCAGCAAGTAGCTGACAACCTAGCAAAACAAGGGGTGAATCGGGAGGTTTTGTTTTGTGCAGTGTTGTAAGTTATTTGTTATACAGGGGTCACCTTTTACTTTAGAAGGCAACAGTTGTTCCTCTGGTTTTATCTAATGAAAGTTACCGTTTCCTATCAAAAAAAAATGATGCAGTCAGTGAGTTTTTTGTTACTTTTACACCAGGCCATATTTTCATTAAAATTAGATAATGTTAATTTTAATTATAAAGCAATATCCCTAAAATATGCATCAAACAGGAAAACCAAATCTTTAGCCAATTATCAAAGACAAACTACCAATAATATCAACATTCAAGAGAAAATACAACCTGCTAATTCACAAGACAAACAATTACCAAAAAATATAAATTTAAAAAACACTACTAGTAATTAGACACAAACATTATAACCAAATATGCATCATAAACCAATAACTCATGCAATTAACTAGTTTCACGTTTTTTTTTTTTTTTTTTGATGAGTGACCAGTTTTGCAATTTAAGTCTTTCTTTTCAGTCACAGAGAATCATAATTTTGAAATGCCCATGAAGACAGGAAATAAGCAACTTTAATATTACCTTCATTTTTTACTCATTGTGGATTTATTTTCTTTCACTACATTCTGCATACCTTATGCCCCTATTTTTTTATCACAAGGAAGAATTTCACTATAAGGAAAAGGAATGTTCCAAGACAAGATGACGAGATTTCACTAACAAGAAAAGAAAGCAAAAAAAGACCACTATTCAGCATTAGTTCCAGTATATAAGGTACGACAGAAATCATAACCAGAAGACCTCCCAAATCTTCAAACTCTGGGTGAGCCACCAGCCATTTTTGACATGGAAGAACAAACATCACCAGAAATACCTATTGGCTATTGCCCCAATAAATGTCACAAACATATCATATTCTTGAAATAAAAAGGAAAGGAAAATATAAAAAAGGACCTTTTCAAATCAGAATACAACTACGCAAGAATGCCATGATTACCCTACTGTTGACAAAGGAGATATGCAAATTATATAGAAGATTGTAGAATGTATGAGAACAACAAGATCACACAAACCATCAAATTCTAGACCAATCCAAAGACAATGGAATATCCTCAAGCATGAGTCTATCCAAAGTCAAACTCAGAACATTACTACAAGTCACAATCAATTTTTAATTAGGAAAATATTTAAAATATAACTGGAAAATACTAATGGTTGCAATTCCCAACATCAAGGTTCTGGTTTCTTTTTTTTTTTAATTTATTTTTTATTTGGTGTTTATGTTTGTTCTGTGTAGGGAATTTTTTGTATGACAGAATGTTTTCATTCTGAGATAATTTTATTTACCGCACTATGGTTTCATCCATTAATTTCCAACAAATGTATGTAGCTCTTCTTCTCTTCTCTCTTTATCTATCCTAGTCTGAAGAATTTATATTTTTGTTCTTTCGGATAGACAGCATTGTAGCTCAAGCAATCCAAATTGAATGGCCTTTCGGGCATAGACTGCAATGTGACTGGGACAGAACCACAAAGAAGACCGACTCTGGCAGAAGTAGAATTTTCCACCAATTGGCACAACAGTGAAGAAAAAATTTGAACCCATGTCATGCATCTCAGTTTAAATAAAATAAAACATTTTGGGCATTGCATGGCCCAGACTAACACTTCATCAAGAAACTTATTCCATTTTTTCTGAAGTTTCCATGGAAAACAAATTATACCACTTTGTCAGACACCAACATGTATGATATCCTTGTTAAAAACATAGTGATGTCTCTGGCAGAGTTCAGTGGTTAGTAGCAAGCACCTTGTAAAAAAAAAACAAATGTAAGCTCAACAGTTTGATTCTAGGGGATATCCATTCCAAGTTGGACACAAGCACCAAGGAGAAAATCAAATAACAAATTCCTCCCAACCCTAAAAACATGTATGACATCATCAGTGGTTAATACCCTTAAATTTCTTATGAAATCCCAATTAAGCACCTTAACCTTGATATGATTGAATGGGCACTTTATCCTCAAGCATCCTTATAAATGTCTCTTCCAAAGTTCCCTATGGATTGTTTTCCAAAACCACCCATTTTTGTATACAAATCCAAACACAGTAAGGAAATAAAAGCAGCACCTCTGAAGGATGACCTGAGGAAGGTTGACAATATTTTAAAAAGTGATACTTAATCTCTTTGCAACCTCAAACAATGAAAAGCCAGTTCATTGGTTAAGGAACAAAGTCTATTTATCATCTCCTGCAGATGTGGATGCTTCTTGTAGAATAGTAAAAAAAATATTTCATATATTTGCTTTACAAGCATACAACCTAAGAACATAATTCATAAATATGTCACTGACCAATAGGGCCATGTAAAAAACTGATCAAGTAACAGAAGGAGAAGGTTGTACACTGCATATATTACTCCAAATTAGTGATATTTAGACAACTGACCTGCTTGTGGATGGTGAAGACCTGACCAATTTATCAGGATCCATACTTTTTGTAGTGGCACCACCAGAAGTAGAAGGATGGATATGATGTGCCAAAGGGTCCCAGTCTGTGGTAATCTGAGCATTGGAAGGAGAAGAAACCAGTGCTTGGCCATAAGAATATGTTGGCTGAGGCACCAGTTCAAGCCCATTTTTTTTCTGACACAGAAACAAAGGAGTTTAATGAAACAATAATGACAGAGAAGAAGAAACTGCATAAAGACAATGATCATACTGAAGTAGTCAGTGCTGCACCAATGGAATGAGCTGGTGACTTCAGAGGAAAAATTGAGTGGCTCAATGCATCAGAATGCCATGGTGCTAGCTGATACTGAGATTCACTTAATTTTGCCTATGACATGAATACAAATGCAAAAGAATATCAAAAGCTCTGTGTCTAACCATCTATTTTCATGGTAAATATCCCAACTCAAAATAGGTAAACGGTCCAAAACAGAAGGGCCATTTCCACACGATTATAAATGAAAATCAGGAAGGTTCCAACACCATGGTACATCTCTCAAACATACCTCAGTAACAACAAGCTTCTCCTGAAGATGTTTAAATAGTACCTACACAAAGAAAGCCCATAAGAGTAAATGCACTTCACATAAATTTTAATGAAACCTCTTCTGGGCGTGTTTGTAATCTACTTTATGATTGAGGGGTCACCTTGATTATGAAGGTGACAGTTGTACTAGACTTCCTTAAATTTTAATGAAAGTTACTGTTTCCCATCAAAAAATAAATAAATTTTTTCCACCGATGCCACATCAAGAGTCTGAATGTAGTGGTGGTTTGATTGACATTTAAGAACACTTCTTATCAACAAGAATGATCAAAGGAGATTTGTCAATGGAAGTAATAAAACATAGCCCACATTTTTTATATTTTTCCAAATTCCAAAGATTGTCATTTTTCTATGATAACTCTCTAAAGAATTATTTAATCTGATCCTTGACACAAAAGTAAAATCATATGTATTCCTCCTATCAGGAGAATGAAAAAAACTTGTAAGCCACTTGTACAAAGAAGAGAACTAACCAAGAAAAATACAGAGAGAAAGGTAAAGCATGCAATGATCAAAGGCATTTGCAAAAATTATCAGAAGCATTTTCCAAATAACTATTGTACATCTACCCCAGAAGTATTAAAAGATTAGGACAATAATCAATCTAAAATATTTATGAATTTAAAGAAGGGAGAAATCAATGATAAAACTAGCATTAAAAGGCATTCAAACCAAACCAATATAAAATAAAACAAGAAAGGCGTTAAGAAGTATCTATTCCTTATATTTGAAAGGCAATATAAACGAAGTTACGAACCTTAAGATTACTAACAATGGCTTGGGCATCAGGCACTGATGGCTGTAGAGAATACTCTGCCAGAAGAGGCAATAAAGATGATACGAATGTTGATTTTTCTTGCTGTGCAGCCTGAGAAACCAGATGGTGAACCTCAAATTTTGATTTAGCTTGATAACATAACCCAATGCATTACAAAATGAAACTTAACTCCAAGCCCATGCATTCAGTCAAGCTTCACTGACTTACAAGTAAATTTACCATCAGTAGAACTACTATGGCACCTAAGCTATATCAGAACAATGAAAAGAACACCCTCTTACCTCAAAATCCAATATAGTGATAACCTCACCAGGGAAAATATCACAATCCAATTTATTACATAATCAACAAATAAATCCTTAGAGAATAAATCCCTATAAGAAGAGAAAAGAAATTTTGAGTGGGCCTGTCTAATGTAGATATGGAAGAAAGGAAAGAATATATGGAAAAACAAATTAATTTTCCAATTCCTACTCCAATTTCAGAATTTTTGAGTGATAAGGATGTTGGCATTTTTGAGTTTTTAAATTTTATTTTCTAGTTGTAGACATCTTATAAATATGGGTTTAAGTTTTCCATAATGTTATCGATATATTGAAATTACTATTTATGGTAACTTTTGGACCTGCTGTTATAATAATTCCTGTTATTACTATAAAATATTAGTTTTAGTAGGATTACTATAAAATCACTATTCTGGCGTCTTTACATTAATTTATTTTTAGTAGGATTAGAAGGTATTACTGGGGTTCTTTAGGAGTTAAGAGTCCTCATTGAGTGTCCCTATGGGTTACCTACAGATTTGTCTTAGTTTCAAAGCAACTAGAAATTGATTTTGGTCAGTTTCCTTATCCAAATTGGACCCCATGAAGCAACATCTGAGTTCATATGTTCAGTCTATAAATACAGTCATTGCAATTGAAATTTAAAATAGTTGATTTGAAGAAATAAGGTTGGTTTAATAAATTCTGGTCATTTCTATGGGTTACCTACAGGTTGGAAAAGTTCTTTCGATATACAGGGGAGGACATATGAAGTGGAGATGAGAAGAAACGTGAAAGGATGGTTTATTTCCATTACAGAGGTCATTGGGGATTATAAAAAATTTTTGATTTGCATTCCGGAGGGCAGGGAGAGAAGAGGTTGGAAGGTTTTTGCTGATAGCTTACAGGAGATGCTGACAAGACAAGAGGAAAGGTTACAGAAGACAAAAAAGTTTTATTGTGATGTAAAGAAAGAAACACATGAATCGCACCTTTCTAGAAAGTTTTCAAAGGGAGAAAATTCGGTGAGTACATGCTCGGAACTGACTTTAGCTAGTTCAAATGGCGGACAAAAATTGTTTTTAAACATGGAAAAAGAAGAATGGAGACAGAGGCTGGTTCTTTCTGCAGCTACAGAGGTAATAGAGTGGGGGGAGGATACTGGAGAGCATAATGGAAAAACTTGCGCTCAAGTGTTCGATTTCTGTTTTTCCATTTGAAGAGCGAAAAGTCATCCTTGAAGTCAGGGAAGAGGAGTAAATTCTCAAACGTTGAATTGGTGGAGACCCTGATTCAACGTGGATTTGGGGTTTTCTATGTTTCTCAAGTAGGATTTGGTTTGGGGATTTTTGGGTTGCCTTAGCTGTGTATTTGGGGTCTAAATGGGTCTTTGAGACTTGCTTGTCTTCTCTCAGTAATATCTTATCACCTCCCTGTTGTTTCTCTTTTTGTTTTAATATTTTTTTTATTCTTCAAAAAAATTTTTTCTTCTCCCCCACAAAATTCTGGTTTAGTGGGTCTATCTCTCTGCTGTTTACTACAACTGAAATTCTTCTCCTTTTTTTGAACTGAAATTCTTCTCCATTTCATTTTCTTTCTCATTCTCCGGTGGAAAGCAAGCTATCTACTTGATTCTCCATACCTATTCTTCATCCTCGATCACCCAAAACCCCTTCTTCGCCACATCACTGTACCCACCACCAGATCCAAAGGGAAATTTGTAGGACCCCCTATGAGTCATACATCATTGTGCCACCTAAAAAAAAAGATTTATGCTGGGAGGCAATACATTTTGGTAATACATTTCAAGATTAACACTAACAAAATCCTACAAAAAAAATGATGAATTGATGTTTGTTCCCAGACCTTTGTAATGCAAGCAGAAAATTTGCTTACCATCTTTTTTTTTTATAATAACAGCGAATTTTTATTAAAATAAAACAGCATAGCATACAGACTGGTCACTGGTGATGAGATGGCACCAAGGACTCAATACAAAAAAGCTTTTGCTTACCATCTATGAACCACCTGCCTGTTTGCATCTAGCATTTGGGACTGGTTCTTTTCTCTTTTTGATTGCAGGTGAGCTCCCCCAACTGAAGTGGGAAGTCTTTTAGAAGGGAAAGATCTCCAACAAAAAGGAGAGGGGAAATTCTATAGAGATGGACAAGGGCAGTAGTCTTCTGAAAAACTTTGGGAAGGGAAAAATCGAAAGGTCCCCAATGAGAAGACAAGAACCGAGGAAGTTATCATGGATATCATTTCAATTAAGGTGGTCTATTGGGTAAAAACGCTAAATGGTTTTGCCTCTTTATAGATCAACACCTAGTAATAACATCAAAATTCAAAAATCAACTCAAATCTGAAATTTACCAAATTCATGAAACTACCTCTATGAGACCAAGTTTTGGGAAGAAATCAATTTTCAGACCTCAGTTTAGGCACCATACCAAAATTCTCTGATTTCTCCAGGGAATTACTTAGATCATAGATCATTCCCTCACTCCCTTTCTTCTTTTTCTTATTCCACACCCACATTACTACCCCTCTTTGATTTGATATGCCTTGCAAGAAACCACTGGATCATTATCCTCAACTAGTCAATTGTATACGCCCATATTTGTTATCCATTTCTTTTTGTCGATAACAAAAATGTAATCAGGGTGAAAATTAAAGTACGCACTGAGAAAATAAACAACACAAAAAGAAGGGAAAAAAGAGCAGAGGGGAGTAAAGAAATGGAACAAAAAGGAACTGTAAAGGATCTTGCAGCTACTCGTGGCATGGCAACACCATACAGAAAAGCTCAATACAACCTCCAAGTTCCCATCCAAGATAAATCAGACCCCAGAAACTCCTTATTTAAGTAACAATCTCCCTGATCCCTAGGACAAGCTCTAAATGAGGGTTCTTTATATGTCGCATTAGAAAATGTTTGGTATTAGAAAAAATCAATACAGTTATGCTTCATATTGATTCTTACTTGGCACTTAAAAAGAATCCAAAAGATCAAGAGAAGGGTCATCCATTTTGCCTGTCTCAAAAAACTTCAAGAAGGAACTTGGATTGGCTTCCAGGTTGAAGCCTGAAGATCATCTGTCAGCTCTATCCTCATATCCCGTTCATAAATATGTTGTTCTTTCCATTTTTTTTTTCTGATAGCTCCCATTCATAAATATTGCCTACTCCAAAACTTTATTTCATGTCATATTGTTTGATGTACCATTGAAAATCCAGGTCTACACTCTCTTTCCAGGATGTTTTTTGTAATCAATATAATTTCCAGGACTTGAAGAATGAACAACAGGTCCAGGTAGATTTTTCAACATCATCAAACATCTAAGTTGGATGCTATTACAAAATCAAGGCTTTGGTTTAAAGGGAGAATCTTAAATTATATCTGTAGGTTGAACTTGCATCAATGTGTTGTATTGCCATAGTAAAACTTTTTTTTGAAACTGTAAGGTAAAGTATTTCATTACTCAAAAAGCTTATACAAAGAAACCCCTGTACAATGAAAAACTGAACAGAGGATGTACAGATTTGCACATAACACCCAAACAAAGCTCCAAAAAGACTTATCCATTCCTTACAAAAGGAAGATCAAACTCAAAAAAAGAGCTAACATGTCTGGATCTAAATAGAGGATGGACAGCCAGCCAAGAATGAACCGTTCCCAATATTTTGCTCAGAATTTCTTCCTTTGAGTGCTGATTTCCTTCAAACATTCTGCTATTCCTCTCATTCCATACAACCCAGAATACTGCTGCAGGTGATACTCCAAGCGACCTTTCCAGCCCTGCTTAAGCCTCCAAGATACCACGCCTCTATTAATCCCCTCATATCCTCTGGTAGACATGTTACCCCAAATAAACCCAACATTTTTAACCAAATCCAGTGAGAAAACTCACAATGGATCAGCAGATGTCTGGACGACTCCATAATGGCATTGCATAAGGGGCAAGCCAAATCTGCCACTTCTATGCCTCTATTAACCAGGTTCTCTTTAGTTAGAGAAGAAAAACAGTCCCAAATAAAGAAAATGATATCTGATTAAAAAGGGAGGAAGAAGCAAAAAGACAGCAAAGAGGAGAAGAAGAGGAAGAGAACGATGGAAGAGAAAAGGATGAAAGAGATGAATTGATCGTACACTCTCTCCCTTCCCTGATCCTTTTAATTAAAATGATTAATCACTAATTATCAGAAAATTACAAGTAAGCCCTTAGTGGGGCGGCTAGCTAATTAAAACAAGAGAAAACTAATGCTAACAGGCCCATAAGAAAAGGCCCATTAACATAACAGAACATAAAAAATATAAAGCACAATTGTGGGTTATGGGACATTCGGCCCATCTTCTCTACACTCCCCCTCAAGCTAAGCATAGATGTCAATCATGCCCAACTTGCTTGTATCATGTTGTAGCTTCGCCTTGGAGACTCCTATGGTAAGAATATCAGCTAACTGTTCTTCAGATGCAATGAAAGGTAGACAAACTTCTCCAGAAGCCACTCTTTCTCTGATGAAATGCCTATCAACCTCAATATACTTCGTTCTATCATGTTGTACAGGGTTGTGGGCAATGTTAATGGCAGCCTAATTATCACAATATAGCATCAGTGGCATGTCATACTCAACACCCAATTCCTCCATCAGGGACCGAAGCCAAAGCAACTTAGAAACTCCATGAGCCATAGCTCTGTATTCTGGCTCAGCTAAAGATCTAGCAGCCACTAATTGTTTCTTGCTCCTCCAAGAAACAATATTACCTACAACCATACTACAGTACCCCAAAGTTGACCTCCTATCATCAATGTTACCTGCCCAATC